TCGCGTCGTTTTTGTCGTCGTGGTCGACGGGGAAGAAAGAAATGAATGAATGTTCTTTTGGGAAAATGTATAATAATACACCTACATTCAAACTTGAATTCGTGAGCAACTGCACGAACATTGTGAAAAGGGTGCTTTTCATAGCCCTAGCTACGCTACCGTAACCAATCGTTAGGCTTCCCATCAGATAGTTCAGTCTGGCGGCGGAGATCTTGGCAGGACGGATGGGACCCAAAGTTAACAAGTAGCTTGGCTCAACCTTCGCTTTCCTTTGACAAGGCAGCTAAGGCTCCAGCTTCGCTTTCTACTTCGCTGCCTTTCTCTAACGAGACAAGTAAAGTACCTTAATTCAATTACAGCAAGATAAGGTATTTCAGGCGGGGTGAAAGTATAGAGCTACTAACCGATATCCGATAAACGGCTTTCGCGAGTATGTCTGTTGCATTGCGCTTATACTTTACTTTTGTCCCTTTTTGATTCCCGGTCCAATATGAGTTCTCGAAGATCTTCGTTTCCGTCACCAAAGCAACACTTTCAGGATTAATTACAGGCCATGGTGATCTTCGATCTCCACCATTGGCTTGACCTGAGGCATCGGGGACTCACCACAACCTCATGCCCATCCAGAGCAGCACACGTTCCTTCCATCGTCTGATCTCCTCCTGAGACTTCTGAGCCTCCTAGGATACTGTCGTAAGCCGCAGCCACAGGATTAATATGTGGAAATGGCAAGTACACACTGTGCACCACGATCTTGACGTTGCGGATGACGTCCGGCACCTTAATCCTCACATAGTTCATCCTCATCGGCGCCGAGGTCAAACCTCCACCGGCACCAGAGGTTGTGATATGCAGCGGTTTGCCTCGTTCTAATGTCGGCGGAGCAGTCCCCACCGGAAGCTTCTCCAGATCCGCGATCGACAAGAAATGGTTCGGCACAATGTGGAACCTGACATTGCTGATATGATATAAGAGTGAGAACCGGAGAAGATCGAAAGGTCGTCAACGGCGAAGACCGTCATATTGTATTGTTAAGAGTCACAAGCTCGGCGTACTTCAACCTTCATAGCGTAGTTCATCCACTGCTACTGGAGTGAGGTTGCGTATATAATAGAGTGGCATTTGGGCCCATAGATAGAGTCATCCCATCCAATGCCTTTTCGTTACCAGCTCCGTGGGGGCTTTCTGGAAGAAAGATGCCAGGTTCATCAGGGTCGAAATCAAACCTGATAGAAGATTCATCAAAGTGCTTGCGGAGTGAGGGCTTTACGGCCCGATGATAGGACATAGGACAGACTTGAGCTCTTCTTCTTCATTGGAACCTGCCGTACCAGAAAGATCTTATTATGGCGTCATCTGTTGGGTAGCTCATTTGGCCACGTCTTTGTGAGCTCTTCCTTTGAACTGGATTTGATTTCACCCCTCTTTGAAAGAGTGACCGATCCGGTCAGTCAAAAAATAGTAAAAAAAAAGAAAGTCTGTCTGGTCTGGTGTAGCTAATGTGACTTTCTCGATCTATAGTTCTTCTTCTTTCTCTCTGTTGACCAATGCTCTGGCTTCCCTCACTCAAAAAATCAGCCGTTGTGACACAGGTGTCTCGAGTAGGCCGTGGATTGAATAGAGAAAGAAGGAAGTGCTTGCGCCTTAGGAATCTTACGCTAAGGCTTGAACTTGCTGCATTCTAGTTTCCAGGAGCGCACTGGAGTTTGATCTTTCAGTCGTTCATTCTTCAAGGCATAATCTTCGTGACAGCGGAAGACGGAGGAGCAGGCAAGAAGAGCAAGTATAGTGAAAGTATCCTCATGGGCCAAACAAAAGAGGTTGAGCCCCCAACGTCAAATTAATGCATTGATTCAAGGGGTACCCGTGCAAACATCGTCTATCTCTCTGGTCAAGTGGCTCCGCTCTTAGGGAGAGAATCTACGGATTCTGTGAAAGGGCTTCCCTATCTATGATTGAGCTCTCGCTCTTACTCTTTCCTAGTCCGTGTTTTTTTCTTTTCTCTCTGACGTCAACTTGCTTGATTTACTAACCTCGTGTTCTCATCCACTTTAAGGTCAGGTCGAAGCAAAGCGTTTTCCTTCCTCTTCTATCGGAAAACAAGAACCCGCCAGCTTAACTTCTACTCTAGTGGGCGAAGGGACAAGCGAAAGGCTTCCTGGTATAAGAAAGAAAGTAGAGCTAGGCAAGGTCTTCTGTGAGTGAACGAGATGAGGATCGGAGGCAGTTAAGTTCCACCAGGGTGGTAGGTGCTTTCTTCGCGAGTATGTCTGTTGATGGCGCAGTGTCCTATCTGCTCAAGGAAAGCTGCCCAACAACTAATGTGTTACGCATTAGCGGCATTTGCTACATAATCCGCATCTGTTGTCAGATATTTTACTATAAGGTAAGTGAGGACTTCTTCCAAGAACGGATCTTCTTAATCTTAATTAAGTTGATTTGTTGCTGCTGATTTCAATAGCCAAGTCAAGCTTTCCAGCAGGCGAGACAGATGCCGATTCTACCT